AAAAATATTTTCAAAAACATTGATACTTTTTGAAATAATGAGTGGTTTATTTTTTATTTACTCCATTAACTTGATTTTGAAAGTATTAAATTTATTTCACAAGATTTTTGAAAAAATTAGCTATATTTGAATTTACACAGTTTTATATATTTATACTCTATAATCATTATAAGTAGTTTATAAAAAAGTTTTTGAATACTCTTAGAGATGTATAACTCATCCATCAGATACCTTTAAGTTAGGTACTTAATTACGAGTAATAACATGTGTCTAACTTGTTAGTTGTTTTTAAATGACACTTAATTACTTAACTACTTGATTGTTTGTGTTGAAGTAAATAAAGAGAAAATTAATTTGGTACCTAAATAGGTAGCTTACTAATCAAATTAATTAATATTAAAATATAATATAACAGCTTAATTTTCCAAAAGTAAGCATTTCCAATAAAGGTATATTGAACTTAAATTGTAACTTACCCAACTATCCAAAAAAGGTTGCATGAGAACACCAGAACTGCCACCAGCAGTGTAATTCACTTTTTCACAATGACCTACAGGATCATAACTGTACAAACAACCTTCACCATTGTTATCAAGTCCAGCTAGTACATTGTACACATAGTACGGGAAGAAACGTCTGCTGTACAACAGAGTAGATAGCAATTGGGCAATAGAATTAGGCTGCATTACTGTGTTATGATCATACAAATATGACTGAAAAAACATTACATTTAAATATGTAAAAACATTTATTTCCATAGCATAATGAACAATTTTTTACCTTCAATTGAGACTGAATAATATTAGTCAATGATAATGTGTCACACCAACACCCTGTGCATCCAAGAACCGATTTGTCAGACAATTGGAATAGCTTTGATTGTTTACGTGTATAAATCATATATCCTTCACTAAGACGAGTGTCAGAAGCAACAATTGCAAAATCCTTACCACTAATGGCAACAATTGAACTATAATTATTTAAAAGTAATTAATTAGTTGTTCTATATAAATATGAGTTAAAATAAAAAAAAGATAATTATGTATGTAACTTACCCTCCATTACTTGCATATGGTTCGAAGTTACGAGCTTTTGGTGCTCCTCTATCAATAATTGTATCCATATTTAAGGAYTGTAATTTGAATTTAACTTCTAAAATGTGAAAATACTTTAATGTTTAAACAAATACAAAACGTAAAATTTGTGTAGTCGACTAGTGATTAGATASACGGACAGTTAGTTACTATTTTACCTTTTACCAAAATGACGAGTTGAAAATATATCTTATATTCTTACATAGAACCTAACCTAAAAATGTATAAAACAATTGTTATCATCCCTTATCATCAAGGTGTGTAAATAAAAGTTTTTAGTGGTACAAAATGATAAGATACGACTTTCGATCACGGCTTTAGATAGAGATTCACGAAAGACTAGAATAATTAAATAATAATATTTTACTTCTCAAATCTCATTGTGTAATAAAATAATAATGTATTGATTTTGTATTATTTATTATTATAGCTACAATCGCGATTGTTATTCAACATTGGATATTTGTTATTTGTAGATAAGTAATTATAATAGGTTCAAAATAATTTTTATTTTTTAGTTGGTACTTGGTATATGCTATTATTATTTATATTTTTAATTTTTAATAGCACCAGATAAAATTATTATATTAGATATAGTCATAAAGAAGATAAAATAATACTTGATTTAATGACACTATGTTTAATATAATTTCTATCTACATTCTACATACAAAATTTTGATAAATTAAGAACCGTTTAAAATGAATCAGAATGTTGTTAACGTTTCAAAATAAAATAAAAAACTTTAACACCACAGTATAAAATCTGCTACTGACAAATCGAATGATTTTCTTGCTCAAAGACAGGTAAAATACATTTTTTTTTTTTTTAATCATTAAATATCATGATAATGATGTGCTGAAGCTTTTTTAAATCACTTGGATAAACCTTATTGAAGAGTACCCACCACTGTCTTCCCACCCAGCATATTAAATTTTTTTTAG